CGACGTCGGCCGCCACGTCCTCCGCGGGACCCATCAGTACAATGTCGTCGAGGTATTTGATGACCTTGCAGCGGTAGTCAGTGGTAGCGTCGAGGAGACCCAGGACCTCACAGGAGTACAGGGCAAAGAAGAAGGGCGATAGCTCGTTGCCCTGCACAATGCCTTGGCCAACATCAATGTCAATCACCTTGAAGAACTTGTCGACAATGCAGTGGGTAGTGGGTCGAGCATAGTGTCGTTCAAAGGCGCGCAAGAGGCCAGGGACCTTGTCGGCCACAATCTCGTGCAGCCGTGCTCGGTCGGTGTAGTTGAAGGCACTCTTGAAATCGAGGGAGAGCATGGTCCAGCCCGGGGTAGACTCACAGGCTTGAAGCTCACCAAAGGCCATGCCAACCGCTGCTGAAATGCCGTCCTTGACTCCGACAGCCAGCTCTGGACTGGCCTGTAGCAAGTGGGCAATATGGGGCTGCTGCTGCTCGAGCAGAGCGCGGTTGACAACCTTGTTGAAGATGGAATGCGTGCCCACGGGTCGAAACTTGCCATTGGCCCTCTCCAGGATAGTGTAGTTGATGGAGCAAAGGGCATGTCGAATCGACTCGGGCACGGTGTTGTTGGCAATGTGGTGAAAGATCTTGTTCAAGGCAACCTGAGGACCTCCAGTGGCGGTGGTGGCGTTTTGACCGCAAAGCCTGGGTCAATCATGTACTACGCGAGCACCCCTACGACGAGCAAGCCACTGATCTGGTCAAGCAGGTGATGGAGGCCAAATTGGTCGCCCAGTGCAACAAGTGTCACCTCTTCTTCGAAGCTACTGGTATCAGTCAACACCGCTCCCGATGTGGTGCCAATCTGAAGCGAGCGACCGAGGCGTTGTTTCATGCGGCTGGACACGACCTGCTTGAGATTATGCGTGGCGCTTGGCCCCAACAGTGTGTAGGGTCTCGCATCAGTGTCTGCGAGCTGCTCAAGCTCGCCCGGCATCCACTGATGCAGCGCAGCCGCTACCCATCCAACGCCACCGAGACCAAGCTGATGGCTGCCACCTTGAGCCAGCTGTATTGGTCTGCCGTCCATTCAGACTATACCGCTGAAGAGCGAGAGATGTGCTGGGCTTTGATTTTGGCCTTGCCTAGCATGTTGTTGTCTGCTCCCTCGACCGCACTGTCTACGATTGACCTGCGCAATATGTTTCACGATCGTCTCCGTTGGCTTGTGACGGGGCAACTAGGTCGGGTCGTGGACGCCATGCGCAAGGCAGTCGCACGCAAGCAGAGCCGTCGAGGACAGCTGAACGCCGGCGCGGGCGCCCACCCGAACGACGCAGTCGACCAGAGTCTCAGGTCGCTCGTCCGCGACCCGGACCTGGCGGACGAAGCCTGGGCAAACCACGTCACGAACCGT